AAACAGTCTGGAAATACTATTGAAATTGGAAGACAAAATACAGGAGCAATTTTATACCTAATAGTAATGTATATACAATAAATATTAATATTTATAATAGAATATGCATATATATATATATATTTTTTTTTTTCGAAAAAATTGTTAAATTCAATAAGTGAATTTTAATGATTGGAGAAATGATATTTATTTGATATATATGTATGTATGTTTATAATAATAATGTTATTTTCTTTTTTAAAACTTTGGAACATCAGAAAGTGTAAAGTGGGAGGAATTTAAAGAAAAGTTTTATTATTTGTTTGTTTGTTTAAAACATATTTTGAAGCTTTTATGATCATTGTCAAAGTTTATTTATGATTTTTTTACTTCAGTACATATTATTATTTTAACCGTTACTAGACACTACAAATAATATTGATTTACGAATATTCGTTTTATAAAATTCATTTTAAATTTGACGTACTGGATACAAATGATATAATATACCTAATTTTTTTTTCTTATCATTTATCTGAAATAATATAGTCTTTCTAGAATAAAATATTCTTTTGAATGTAATACAAGTGATATCAATTTATTCATTAAATGAATAAATAGTTTTAAGACAGATTTTCTGTTTATTGAAATGATATGAATCTGAAATGAATTTGAATTTGAAAACATTGTGTATCATTTATTGTTTATAAACTTTGTCAGTAATGATATATAGAATAATTCTGTTACTCATTGTGTATATAAATATTAGTTTTCTTTTTTTTTCTTTTGCTAATTTGAATGTAGGTTCCACTGTACAACGTTAAGAGACCATTTTTGTTCGGTACTAGGGGACATAGTAATACCAACATTACGTGATCTACACCTAGTCCGTTTGGAAAATTAACAAAAAAATTCATCTACAACGAATAAAAATAGAGCCCTTTTATAGATGGACAAATATCATAAAGACTTAAGCACAGACATGTAGCTGTAACATTTACCTGAATCTTAGACGATGCAGTGTTTTCCTGCAGAAAACCAAAATTGACCAATCTTGATTTTGCCTTGAGCGTTACCGATAAACTGAATCGTATGATTACACACCTCTTTCACCCGTTTTTGAATTGTTCACATAATTATTTTTAAAATATATAAGTGTCTAGCATTACGTGAACTCCCTCTACATGCTACAACTAAAGCTTGTAAACTTTATTAATTTGCAGATTAAATAATTATCTCTGTTAACATACAAAATCAAGAATCTTTTTGCACTTTACTTAATTAATGTATATATTAACGTTTTTCATATAATTAAAGTATCTCCTGTATTAACAAACAAAAATGTTTATGTCTCAGAAACACTTTACATTTCCTATCTTTACTAAAACATTTTTACTGAATACAGTATATCCTATATACCATATAAATATTGAATGTGTGGTATTTTCTTAACATCTTGTATATAACTCGTGTACAATAACTATTCAAATATAATTGGAGCGCAGTGGAGTATTAAAATAATTGTTTATTACAGAGTGGAATATATGTTCCGTGCACGGTCTTATTCGAAATTCATCTTCAGATTGGCATGTTATCTTCTATAAGAATACTTTTATTAAATGTATGAAAAATTGTAGGAAAATTGTTGTAAAGGAATGGGAATGAGCGGGTTGAAGTGGAAAAAATATTTACTTATATTACATGACAATTTATCCCTCGATTTCATCACTGCGTAGGAACGATAAAATAATTACTGTAGAATGAAAAAAATGTTTAAATCTGAACTTTTCAATCTTAAATTCTATTTATTCGAAATATTATTACCAATTCACAGATGCGCGACATTCGGAAAGACATCGAAACAACATTGTATAAAAGAATTTTTACAGAGGACAACGTGTCAGTCTTAAGGTGAATTTTGAAGAAGAAATTTTCATTCTCATTCATCCCAGTCTTACAGAAAATTTGATACAGTTTATTTCTGACAAAACGCATTCAAACATATTTTTAACCAGTTTATCGATTTTCCGTTAGAATTCTGTAATCTTTTAAAAAGTTCCATTTCTAATAATTTTGTTCATACAAAAATCTTCTTGTTCCATTTCATTTACAATAAATTTATTAACTTTGTCGAACTTTCTGATAATATTATAATAATCTTTGAGGTATAAACGACAAATAATTTTTGTTCAATGACATTTTTACCATGCCAAAATCTCTATCATTACGAATTATTACGAACATTTGGAAAATAATAATTGACAATTGTAGTTAGGCCACTTTTAAAATGAACATTTTCATCGCTTCATTAATCAACACATTTTCGTGTTACAAATTTTTCATGATTTTTAATATACTAGTAACAAATTGTATCAGAATGAAAAGATCTGATGAAAAGAAGAAAAATTCTTATTTTTAAATACCAATATCGAAATAACGCACGTAAATTAATCAAAATACATTAATGTTAGAATTTTAGTCGTGACGTAGATTATTCGATATTCGATACCATTTCAAATTCGATTGAGGTACTTTGCATGACTAATATACATACGTTTCGAATCTGTCATTATTGAAGGGTCTAAAGAGC